TTGTTTGGGACTATTTTCAGCACCAGGCTAAAAGAACATTGAACCGCGTTTGTTGGCTGCTCTAGCGAGTGTTTACTGCAGCGAGGCAGTGCAAGTGGATGATATTAAAATATCGAAACACCAGTATTCATTCCGCTGAAAGACGTGCCATTCAGCCCAATAACGAAACATCAGGATGCATTTGTGACATGTTTTGAAGTCTGGCTTTGGCAAAGGGTGACATTGAGAGCAAGCTCTGAATAGTTGACGCCGGGGATCGTGGTGTAAGTACTTCAGGAATTTGATGGGCATAGGCTACATTAGAATGTGCGTATGAGGATGACGTCATGTTGTAGTCTCGTCTCAGTTTCGTTTTGTTCTAAATGATGGGGAACCAAGGACAAATTGTTTTTTTCAAGTTCACTGTGTGGTGTGGCACTTTGTAAAAGGTCATTCTGGGATTGGCTCGAAACTTCATTTCCAAGTGCGAAAGTTCTTAGTTCACAGCAAATGTGTGTTTGCTTGGCTTTAGGTAGGCATTGCTCCTGATGGCAAAAATGTCAGTGGCTTAAACCACGAGAGCACCCCACAAAGGGCAGCACAATCCAAGTTGATATTTCATCTCCCTCGATGAGGAATCCCATGCCTTCCTTGGACGACCTCCTTGTGATGAGCAACCCGCTTGATTTATAGAGTGGCGCGTGGTGCATTTGGAACCGAGGCTTCCAGTGGTGGGTTAAGTGACTAAATCCACCTCTTAATACCCTCACTATTACAATGCCTGAATATTTGAAAATAATGTACTTGTACGACACAAAATAACGTGGCATTATAAACAGAGAGAAAGGCGTTTGACATTTGACATAAATAGCTTTTTTACTCAAACAAGAAAAATAGTTGAACCTTTTTTTTCCCTCCACACCACCATCCGAGGGCATCTCAATGATAAATATATTGCTTGTTTTGCATATTTTAAGAACAAAGTATTATTCTGTTCATAAATTGACTGGTATATTTGAAATGGATCTCATCAGCTTGTGAATGTGTAC